TACACACAACCAGCATTGAGTTAATTAAACATTTATTTTGGTGCATTCAAAATGCAGAAAAAAAGTTGAAAAATGAGTTTTTCTCTTTGATTACTACAATATTTGGCGCCCGTACCAGTGGCGTCATCTATCGCATTGCTTTAAAGTCCTCAACTTTGTTGGTTACAGTTCTCTATGCATTTGCAATTTTAAATGAATAATTTTTGAAACGAAAATTGTTTTCTTCTTCGTTTTGAATTGCTTTTATTTTCAAAAATTGAAGAAAAAAAATTCCATACCAAAAATAGATGATAAATACATAGGTGCATGCGCTCTCCGGCTATAGCATATTTAAATCAATGTATTTATTTTTCAGCTTTGACACTACTGAAACGTCAACTTTGGCTAAGCTTTTCGGTCATCGGGTGAACAAACGTTTGTTTCTTTTGGAAAAGTGAAAGGAAAATTGCTGAAAATAATAAATATTTTTCCAATTTAAATTGCTTTTCATAAAATAATGAGGAAATAAAACACATTTTGGATATGATTCGATGCAAACATCATTTTATTTGGTGTCAACACGCAAATGCAACTGATTTAAACCGTGCAAATGCTCGAAAACCTGTCAAAACATATGTTGCATACCAAGCGCACTTTTATCATCGGTCAGCACAGCTCAGATGGTAGAGCGTTGGCAATCATTACCATCAATGTAAAGAAAACGGCGGCGGGTTAGCCGTTGAGCTCAAAGTGACCTTAAGTCTGACCGGGACTCAGTGCCAACCAGATGTTGATTGAATGACCTTGGACCCGTGATTCAATCAGCATCTGCTGGGGGGAAAGGGTAACCCCCAACCATCAAAATGCATAGTGCCTTATAGTACCTTATATGCATTTGCGCCCTTTTTTGCTCTGTTCTGATGTATTTTTTCAACCAAAGTTCGAATCCGTATGGGACCAAATTTTTTTTCCCAATTTTTATTCCCTTGCTATTGATTTTGGAACATTCTGTATGGAAAAAAAATATTAAATTTTTTTTTAAAATTTTTTATTGATATTTTCTGCAGAATCAAAGACGAGAATCAAATTTTTGCGTCTTTTATAGAAAGGTTTTCAAACAAATGAATGAAAAGTAGAAAATTGAAAAAATTTCGCAGCCCTGAAAATTTTCTTACGTATCATATACACATTCTGTTCACATATGTAGCGAAAACGCGCACATACGCTTGCGTATACGTTTCCCCTTTGCTCATTTCATATATGCACATATATACACACACATACACTCTACACACTCAAAACTCGGAATGACGCCACATTAGTGAACGTAAAAAATTGTAGAAAAATCACTAAATCAATCATATTTCGAATGGAAATTTGAAAATTCAAGACAAAATAAATGAAATATGGAAATGCATAGGCAATCAGGCCAAATTTTTTGCCGAAATCCTTTTTTTTTGAAACGAGGAAGAACGATAGACGCTTATATATGGTTTATATTCAATTTTCGCCTAAATTCTCATTCCATACATTCTTGGGTTTTAAAAACACACACACTTTATTCAAAACTGGAACTAGCTTGACTTTAACTTACGTTTGAGTTGAGAAAAATATGTATAAATTTTCTGGAACAACTATAACTTTGGAGAAATAAAATCGATTTGAGCAAAAGAGCCATCGCTGCTGAACTATGAATGTTGTATTAGCGTCGGAAGCGAAACGATGACTGAGTTTACCACATGCTCATTGCTCGTTCGATGAGTGAATTGAACATTCAATGTATGTATGAGGGGAAATGAAGCAGCTGCTTTTGAAATGTATATGCATCACACACATGTCTTGTGTTCACTCCCGAACATGCGACAGCTGCATCGTTTATTATCCGCCTCTCCGAAGTTAGAATGAGTCTTCAGTTGAATAAATGTTTAGATTTCTTTTGGTAAATTTGGAAAAATTCAAATATATTTTGGAATTTCTCGTCTCTTCTTGCAACGGCAAGCTATGAATCGGTATGAATTTGGATGAAAACACAGGAACTTTCGTACATTGTGGTGCCAAAAATGCCGGTTGTGGCCGTTGTGTTCTCTTTTTAATAAAAATTTAAAAAGAAACACAATTGCTTATGTCCAAATGTTTGATTCAAATGAATAATTCTTCACTTGTTTTCGGCGGAAATGAGGGCCGAATTAGAATTTGGAGTATCGATGCTACGCAACAAAACATCTCATAATCTGAAAGAGCATATCTCGCCATTTGCATCTTTACAATTCAATTGTTCTGATCGTGAGATTGTGTCAATATCCAGCGACCCATCATTCAGCGTCCTAACGTGCATCATTTCGGAGATAACGTTAGTATTTCAATGAATTTAGTTGAATATCGAGAGCTCGTGCCTTAGATATCCATGTTCTTTTTCAAATAGAATTCAAGAGTATGATAAGCACGTCCTCTCTGCAAATTCCCTCTAGTTAAAAAATATGTCCAACAAAGAAAAATAATCATGAAAATTATACAGCAATCCGGCATTGATTTAATTAAACATTTATTTTGTTGCATTCAAAATACATACATGCATTTCCTAAAAAAAAAATCTTCAAAGAAAACATTTCGAAAAAATTGTGTTACAATTTTACCGCGCTGTTGCTCAAAATAACCTAATGAAACGCATTCATTGAGTTCTAATTTGTTTTCTTCTCAATAATTTTGTTTTTGTTGTGTAAATTTTTATTTGCTTGTTTGGTTTTCTTATTATTCTCTTCACATAAATTCAACATTAAAAAAATATATAAAAATGTTTTTTTAAAGTTCAATTTAAAGCCTTGTAAATAACTCAGGACATGTGGGATTTTGTTTTGTGAATGTTGGTTGCGTAGTAAAAAGGTGGAAAATTCGAGTTGAGTGATTTTTTTTTCTCAATGCATTTAAAGTAAAAGAAGAAATGTATTTGAAAAAGAAACGAAATTGTGTTTTAAAAAAATATACCTCATGGCCTGCCAAATTTAGCTGCATTAAATTTAGGGTCCAAATTTTTATTTCCAAAACTGACAAGAAAAATTGTTCTTTCATTTGTTATGGCAGAAATCATGACTTTTGGATAAATTTTGTTTTGTCTTTTTTTCTTTCTTTGTTAAGTTATGTTATTTTTTCATTAAATTACGAAGACTCATGTGTTACGAGGTTTAATTCACTTGGAATGATTACTGAATCGAGTTTACTTTTCTTTATTGGCCAAATATTGAAATTAAATGGAAAAAAAACAAATTTTGGTTAGGCGTTTTTTTTTCGATGAAGAGCTCAATCTCTTGATTTGTTGTGCTCAAAATGAACGAATCTGAATCTCAGGTGAATGATTGAAGACAACGTACAAAAATATACACGAAGAAAATTGAGATGAATTTTGTGCAAAAAAAAACTTTTGTTCTAAATGCTTGTTTTTCGTTACATTTTGTATAAAGGAGGGCGGGTTTTGATAAATACGGAAGTTATCACCTTGCTATACAATTAAAAAATACATTTAATATTATAAACAATGGGAAGGAGTCACAATTGACACTACTGTTTATTGTATAGGGGGTTTGTGTGTTCCGTTTCACTAAACTGTATCATTAATCGCTGTTGTTGTCTTGCTTTTTTTTGTTCTGGAATTTGGCGATTTGCTGTTGTTGGTCAGTAGATTGTAAATTTTCTTCTTCTTTTTAGCTCATTTGTTCCTTTCATTTAAAAGTCATTGTTCATATTGCTTATGGTCTAATACATTTAGCTAAACATTTACATTTAATTTTTGTTCCATTTTATTATTCCATTTAAAAATACCGCGTCTCTCTAAACATCGTGCATTTGTTATCGCAATTTGAAACACTTATCCGTGTTTAATCTTGGTCTTGATCTAAATGTGTGCATGCCATCCCGCTTCAACATCTTCTCCTTCCACTTCGCTGCTTCGTATAAATTAATTTTATTAATTATTCGTTTGCTTCTACTTTACATTTTAAAATGACATTTTTATTTAATTTTTTTTTTGTGTTGTGTTTTCTCTTGCTTAAAATAGATTGAATTCTTCGTTCATAACACACTTGAATGTCTTTCGCTACTTTTGGTTTTCCCTATTTTTTTTTCTCTTCTTCTTCTTCATCATCATCATGCTCATCTTTTTTTTTCTCGTTTTGTAATAAAAAAACACATTTCGATTGAAACTGGAGTAAAAACATTTGATTGTTTTTGATTTTCACGTGTTCGCTACGGTATAATGTATTTAAATAACATCGATTTCGTTAAAAAACAACTATGTAACTGGAATTATTGTGTATATCATATAATAAGAATCCATCTATTATTCTCGAAAATAGTGTCTCTTCTGTTTCTTCTTCGTTTTGATCTTTACAGATATCGTTTTGCTTTTGCTTTTTTTACATATAAATTTGTGCGCGTAAAATCTCTCTTCACATTGTTTTTCCATTTTGATTCTCTGTATTTATCAATTGAAAGATTAGGTGGTTGTTTAACAAAAATCAATGCAGGAAAAATACAAAATTGAGAGAAGAATGTGTAAACTCGAGAAAATAAGTCTGTGTTTGAGTAATTAAGAAAGCAGAATCGGCTTTTTGTCTTAAAACAAATGATACTTTGATCCATGGCATATGCAGCTAATCTCAAAATGATTGAGTTTGAGCAACAACAAAAAATCAGTATATTCATTACAAATTGAAATCTCATGATGAATGGTGTACGGATCGACGAGAGAGAAAAAAAATACCTTCTTAGCAAAAAAAAAATCAAGTATCAAGTAATAAATACGAAAACCTGATTTCTAGCTAATTTGTCTTGTGCGTGAAAATAAATTAGTAAACTTTACTACGAACGAAAAAAAAATTGTTGTAAAGAATTGTTTCGTGACGATAAACGAAAATTAAAAAAAAAAATATACATATATTTAGGTCTTATGAATTGTCGTCATATCGTTAATACAATAGGTTGCATTAATACCAAAATAAAAAGAAGAGTAAAAAAGAGATGAGAAAAATCGTTGTGCCGAAAAATTAGATCAAATTTAATTGCGACAGATCATTTGTTTGCGATTTTCGATTGCGTTCGGTTAACATGTGATATAATTAACTAGTTAGAGCGAGACTAGGCGCCGGGCATTGAGCTCTAGTGAATGTAATTGAATGTTCGAATAAATTTTGACTGGCAATGATTAGCAAACTGTCGCTTTGTTGTTTGTTGTCCAGAATAAAAAGGAAAAAAAAACACAGAAAATCTTAAACAAAGAAAAAAATGTCGATGATTCGATCGTTCGATATGGTTGTTGTTCTTGTTATTGTTCATGAAATTTTCTTTGTGTTGTTTGATGCATTTTCGCCTTCTGTCTGTCTGTCAATATGTATATATTAATTGAAACGGGAACCCTGTTCTATCGATATCTCTATTACCTCAAGATAATTGTAGTTACGATTTCTTTTAAGCTATGTTCTTCTCTTTAATTGGATGAACTTTTTTTCTCTCTTAAGATCGGAAAAGATTTTGATGTTCTTTATGATAAGCGCACACTGTGTTGGTCTCCATTTTAAAATAGACCACAATCTTTTAAATTGTTTTTTATGATGACATCGGTGACCGCATCAAATACAAATTGAATGTTATTGGTATCGGTTGCACATGTCAAATGTGTATAAATTTCTTTTTGATCTTTTCGCTTATTGAGATTTTCGAATTTCATTCTTATGTAACTAGACGCTTCTTCATATGTATTTGAACCTGAAACGGAAATAAACGAACAATCAAATGTTAATTATTACTGCGTGAATTTGGTCGAAAAAATGAGCGGCAAATCAATGCCAATCGTATACGTACCGGTATATTCCGGGAAGCATATGGTCAATGGTGAACGCGATATTTTCTCTTCGAATAAATCTTTTTTGTTCAAAAACAAAATGATTGACGTTTCAACGAACCATTTTGAATTGCATATCGAATCGAATAATTTCATTGATTCAATCATGCGATTCATTTCTTCGTCTTCGGCCAACACCAAATCATAACCGGATAAAGCCACACAAAAGATGATCGCTGTCACACCTTCGAAACAATGGATCCACTTTTTTCGTTCGGAACGTTGGCCGCCCACATCGAACATTCTAATAATTGCAAGAGAAATAGAAAAGGTTAGCGGCAATAGGTCGACGAGAGAGTTAGAGAGTTAGAGAGAGAGAGAGAGAGAGAGAGAGAACAACACACGCACAACCAAAGGAGAAAAATGTCATTTTGCTAAAAATTAGAAAGATGTAACATGGTAGTGGGCTTTTATAATTGTCATTTTGTATTCCCTGTGATAATTTTTTCTATTTCGCCCAGATGCGTAATTAGTGTCAGTGTGAATTATCGGGGTTGCTTTATTATTAGTCATTGGGGCGCACATTATGTCAAGAAAACATGAATATTCCATAAGTATATTCGTCCCCCAAATTGACTAAATCATGTGGGTTTATGTGTTTGCGTTTGTATGTGTGTGTCTCTTACTTGAAATGTAGGCCTTTGAAGCTGAAATGCGTTTCGACGATGCCAGTTGTCTTGACTCGTGTTCTTAGGACATCTTGCTGCGTTGGAATGTAGTTTGGATGTGATATTCTATCTAGTGAGTTTAAGTAATATGCAGCTGAATCATTCAATTGGTATTCGCGTGATCTGATTTGAGAGAGAACAAGCGGGGAAAAAAGCAAACAAAAATAATGAATATCACATTGATCGGACAATTTATTGTAATTTTTACCTTGCAAAGCATTTCTGTACTCCAGGATCTGCCCACAGAATCTTCATCAGTGAAACTAGCTCATGTGTTAAGACACCTTCCTCAGCTGCTGACGCATATGTGAAAAATTGCCGTGCAATTTCCTATGTTGATGAGAAAAAAAAACCGTAATTTGGTCCAATTTTTTTGTGTGTGGTTAGTTGAATATTAGTATGCCTTGTCATTGTTCGTGTTTGAGAATTGCGATTTGCGAATTGTGTATTTGTCACGTCATAGCATAAATGAATTGAATGTATGCGTGTGCTTTTCTTACCGTTTTGTTGATGTCAGCAAAATCGATCCGTAGTTGTCCCATGGCGCGTATTATTGCCATTAAACTTTGTATTGTGTTGCTGTAGACAACTGGTCGATATTGTTCGCATTCTTCTTGTGAATAGCCGGTTTCATGGATGATTTTCATCTGTTTTACAATGGTCGATTTTCCTGATTCACCCGCACCTACATTCGCAAAAAATGAAACGAAATCGACGCTTCGACATTAATAAACAGCACAATATTCTTAATTGCATCAAATTAGATACAAAACACGTTTTGCAGTGTGCGCTAATTTACACATTTGATTTATCTATGAATAAAGTTAAGTCATTGGGATAGGGTGAGAGAGAGAGAGAGACATGCTGCATGATGAACTCATTCCGAGAGGCATAAAAATTCGATTGAATTAAACAATGAAACCTATTGACCCATCATCATCATCATCATCATCATCATCATCAGTTCAGTTCAGTCTGTGTATTTTGTTAGCCCGACGAAAAATCAATTTGTATTTTGCCTTTTGATGTCTCTACACAAATAATTTCAATCAATTCATTTCGTCTGCAATGGACGTTGAAAGAAGCAGAGAAAGAGACCACGAGTGGAAGAAGTAAAGAAGCAAAGCGAAACGAAAATGTAGAGCAAATTCAAAACGAAGCGTGGTGAATGAATATCATTAAAAAAAATTGATCTGAAAACCAATTAATTTGATGGAAATGTTTGCGTTGCTTACAGTCTGATGGGCTCTTTTCAGCTTTGGTACGTTGACATTTTTTTAATTACCAAGGATTGTCGAATTCATAAGATGAATAAGGGCAAAGAGCAACAGAAAAAAACAGAACGGGCCAACATTTTATTTTTCGCTTGACTCGCTAATTAAACGATGAAATCATGATTCAATTCATTTATTTTTCGATTATCCAAAATAAATGCCACTGCGGAATGGGAGACGAGAGTAGAAAAAAAATGAAACGATTTCACATTACAACACGCGAGCAACTTGATTGTAAAGCAATTCAATATCAAAATGAGTAATTTTGCCGCAGGTAGGTGAAACCCATCGTTTAAAATGGATGAAACCACATCATGACATATTCCATCTATTTTTCTAATATGCGTTTGATTACGTCTCGAACATACACGAACTTAACTAAAGTTATAAAATGCCACTGAAATTGTGCGGTCGACGCACACGATGTGTGCTAGAGAGATAGAGAAAGAGATCGACAGCATCGTCATGAAAAATAAATCTGCTGTAAACGGTTCTGTGAAATTGCAATTCAATACTGACAAATTAAATTCGTTCAGTTGCTTGTTCCATCATTTTTCAATCGTCAATCTATCATTTTTACAAGCGCAATTTCATTCGTTCCTTAATGTTGCTGCACGGCAATATTTTCAATTAATCAGCATCAATAATAGCAAAATCTCAACACACGAAATTAACGGCAGAACGGAAAAAAACAAACGATCCGAGTACTCAATTCGGTAAGAACTTTGCACGGTATGTGCAAATGGAAGCGTTCATGTGTGTGTGTTTGCGAATAAAACACCATGAAAGCGCTCTTTCGAACATAAATAAATGTTTATGGGATTAGCAAGAACTGTGCCGCGCTCAAAAAGTAGCGCCGAAAGCAATGAGCGTTACTTTATTTCGGTGTTTTGCCTTTTATACACAACACCGGGTCACAGTCACATATTCATACATAAATAATATGTGTTCATATTTCGCATAATATTTCGGTGGCCAATGTTTTGCAAATGAACCGAAATGCTCGTTTAGTGGACGAGCTTGAATGGATCGTATACTTTTTGTTCCATTCGAAACCATTCTCACATTCAAAATTCATCAGTTCAAGCACAATACTGCTGTGTGTTTCGGCATTTTTCTTCGTTCTCCCTCTCTCTCTCTCTCTCTCTCTCTCTCTCTCTGTCGTATAACCAGAAAAGTAACACAAAAGCTAATGAACTACTACTGACGAGAAAAAAAAGAAAGAAAATTCTTCATGATGATTCTATGTTGAATTCGAGACTTCTTTTTTTGTTCTCGTTGAAATCTCGCTCGAAATGGACGCTATTCAAACGAATTGATAAAATAAAAACGCATTCGAGAAAGACATAGAAATAATATCAAAGAGAAAAATCTGTTCAAATGATAGAGCATAGTGAAATTGTTTGCGCTCAGTCTGCCAAACATTATCATCCGAATGAATAGTCGTTGTATCTCTTTCTCTTTCTCTATCTCCCTCTCTCTCTCTCTCTGTGTTTTTGTCGTTCGCTTTTTCGGTGCGTTATCGGGTGTTGCATTTGTTGATCAAAACGGTCATATGGTTTGAAATGGTGTTTGCTTAGAATGAATCTAATATCCGATACGATGTTATGCGCTCAATTTTTGTTATTGTATCTCTCCAGGTCCATTAGACTGGTTCGTGATAACAATGTTTACACATAAACCGTATGCTTTTAGAGACAAAATTAAGTGAAACGATCGAATAAAATAAAGAGCAAGAGCAACAAATTCGAGCATGATTCATTTATTGACACTTTTTGTGCTCTGTTCCGATACAAAACCGAATTTAGCGATAAGATTCGAAATCTCGAGAGAGTGAGAGCGAGCGGATGGGAAAAAAACGGAAAATCATCATTTTTTGTCAACATGCTAATGGTTGAAACTGGTTGACTCGTTCATATACTGAGGCACCATCATCAATATAATGGATGACAATTGGCGATAAAACAGACAATGTGAGCGGCACATTTTGCCACATTATTTATTAGATTGTCAGTTCGCAATCGGTGCGCATCATCTCATGAAATGGTTTGACGAATCAATTGACGGTCACAATTCAGCACAACGTGTTTCAATGCTTTGATTCGCACAAAATTGGCCTTTTTCCCATATAATAATGGGCGAAAAAGAAAGAGCGTGAGACAATGGCGTTGCCGGTTTTTTTTTTCTTTCGAACAAATTGATGACAATCTGAATAAGATGTGTTAAAAAACCATTTCAGATGATTTGCATGTGTGCCGCTCGATATAATAATCAATATCCCCTGGACATTTGCATAAATCGCATATGAATGTGAGAACACAAGATGCTGAGATGGGGATAGAGTGAGTGAGAAAAGCAGAGAACATCGAACACCAAACGAGTTGTTTTGATTATGATACGCGTAATTTGTTGCCCGATTAGGGCAGTGTCGCATTGAAACCAGTTTTTATGTCGTTTTTCATTAGTTTTTGAAGCAGTCACAAGCCACCTTGTAATTATAGATTTGGCTGTGCGCGTTTGACGCGTATGCGGTCGCATTGTCAAATGTTTGCTCTCCTTCTTTCGCGCATTGTGTTGTTGTTGTTGCTTCATTCCTTTGTACGGCACCGACCTCGCTCATCTCAAATCAAATCGTGAAAGGCATCACGCACAATGTGCTAAAATAAAACTAGGCAGAAAAATAGCAACAACAGCAGCAATATATCATCTCGTCAGATAGAAAGCATACACAGGAAGTTTTTTTTTCGAGTGCAAACAAATGTTGTTCCAAGAAAATTATGAGTTTCAGTTCGATATATATACCGACAAAAGACACATCAAAACACATGTAAACTCGCTTTCCTTTTACATCTTCTCATCTTTATCATTATTGTCTATCGGTGTGCTTGTGTTGGTGTGCTGAATCTCTTCGGCTGTTGTGTTGTTTTCTCTCTCTCTCTCTCTCTCTCTCTCTCTCTCTCACTCGTTTCTATTTCTTTTTCAATTTTTCTCTATAATTTAATTAGCCGTCAATGTTGGTTGCGAACTTACATTGTTCTCTTCGCGATCGTCTCGCGAAGGTGTGGACTCTAAATACAAATCGCTCAAAAATGAACCGAACAAGAAGAATTATAGCCATATCGCTGTGAAACGACCAACGGTAGAATTCGAAAAAAATCACACAACAAAGAAGAAGAAGAAGAAAAAGGGTTATTCATACAATAAGCAACCGACCATTAACTTTTCTTCGAGCTAACAATTTTAGCTGGTCGATTTGAATGTCGTGTTGCCGATTTACATGAGTCAAGCCAGTTTTCGACACAGCCACACCAGAATGTGTGCTGAAAGTGAGAGAATCGAAATCGTGTGCGGTCATCGCTAAACAATAATGGACGCAGAGCGAATGAGACACACACAGGAACATTGGAACAGCACACATTCGCGTGTAATAGACTCGTAATCAGGTTTCTATTGCTACTTGAAATATCATTATTATGATTCATTCGTTAAACATATGAACAATAAACAATTCGTAATCATGACAGATTCTCTTTCCTTTTCGAATAGCTATCGATGAATTTCAGTTTTGCACACAATCGAATCTCGTGTACTCAACACAAAACTCACAAAAGAAAGACGTACGAAATGAAGAGTCAGCGAAGAGAAATAACAAAGGGGCACAAACAACAGCAGTGTGCACACTGTACTTAATCAAATAAATAAACATCGAGGAAACGAAACTTATGCATTAGACTTCAATAATTCCATGCCCATTGAAATTGCAGATCTGACTCTTTCAATCGGGTTAAATTGTGGAGAAAGATATGAAATTATATGTGAATGAATCAAGTAACGAACAAATGAAACGGGAACAAAAACAACACATTGTGGCTGTGCATTTTTCATTTCATTTGAACGAGCACTCACAAAGAAAGACGACTGACGAAGACGAAGACGGCGAAGAAGAAGAATAGTAGTTCGTAGCCATCAATCGTTGTAATGAGGCAAACATCGGCGCGCACATTGGAGACGAACAGTGAGCAAACAGCGCAAAGTAAAGAGAGAAGAAGAAGAAGAAAAAAACAATGCACGGCCGGTAAGACATTTATAGCGCGTATTACATTTTTTTTAACACCCGACATCAACAACATTCATTCAGTCTTATAACTACGACCAAACTGCCAACCAGCACCCAATCTCGAATAGACACACAACGGAGAGACAGAGACTGGAGAAGCCGAAGTGAAAAAAAAAGTAAAAAGCAACAACAACGGCAAGCACACCGACGATATGATAAAGTAGTTGAAGAAAATGCATAAAAGTTACTCATATTTAATTTATAACACGAAAAGTGAACTAATAACCAAATGCTATACAAAACGCATTCACTCACACATGCACACTCACATCGAAATCCCCTCATATGTGTAAAACACACACGCAACGCAAACGGCGTGTTCTCGACAATTTGGAATTTCTCAGTACACCGAAATATGAAATCTGTTTTATGTACACACTGAGAGGCGAAATACACATATTTGCATGTACGGGGTTTTCTTCTTCTTATTCTTCGGTTTCAGACGATGCGTGTTTGTTTTTGTAGTATGTGGCGGTATGTGTAATTGTGTATGTGTGTATCTGTGTGCGTATTCCGAGAGTTTTGAATGTTTGGTAAACGAATTCAACAAGCGCTGCATCGAAAAAGAGCATTTAATTTCTATCAAATTATGAACAGCAAATATCTATGTTAAATTCCATACATGAGTAGAAATGCATGTGATGATGATGATGATGATGCTTTTGTGTTGTTGTTCGCTTTTTTTTCCATAACTTTCGCTGCTCACACACAATTTAGGCGGAGGAAAATGTATGAATGCACATCGCAAGCAATTGACGTAGAAAGAGAAAGAGAATATGCATACAATGGATTACAATGCACAGAATAGAAGAATATACACACTTGAGCCGAACAATGCGATTTACCATGAAACGAATGAAACCAAAAAAAAAGAAGCAGCACACGACTCATGCAAATCATTTGATGACAAATTTACTAAGCATGAGAAAAAGAGACGCGTTGCGCTGCGATGATTTGCCTTTTTTCTACTTCTTTTCTGTCCGAATCCAGAATTGTGTATGATGCATGTATCTTTTGATGTACGGGGGATTCCATCATACACAAGCACATTTTGTGACGGAATTTTCATGCAGTGACTTTGACAACATACCGAATAAAAAAGAAGACGAAACGACACATGCTTTGACGTTTGTTCGGTGGAACGGATGAGTGTAAAGCAATTTATGTTTGGCATTTATCTTTTAACCTCAGACATTCCATAGGTCAATATTACCTCAATTCAAATGCTTTTGCCAGTAGCTTAAGCTTCAATTGCATCGAATGGATGTGAGAAGAAAAAATGAGAGACTATGTAGAAGAAGACATGAAGTGAGTGTAGTGAAATGGGCCCGAGGAAAATGAGATCAACGCTATTTACGTGCTTTGCTAAAGTTTTCTAGTTAAAAAGTCTGTCATTTCGAAGAAGTGAATAACACACACACGAAAAAAAATATAAACGGTGGAAATGACGTCGTTGCTTGATGTTGATGACGATGACGATGATGGTTGGCGGTGGTGATGATGTTGATGTAAAAATGATAGTACCAACACATCCCACTAGCAAAATAAATTATGTGTAGAGCATATTAACTGAATGGAAGAGTTCTTGAGCGCTTCTCTTGCTCTCTGTGAATATGTTATCACTTTGTGTATACAATTCTTATACAATGGACATACCCAAAAGCAATAGCTTCACTTCGGATGCTGCACGTTCGCCATCGAGACGCAATGCCCTGTCAATGTTTTTCGATCGTTCTATCGCCTCTTTATCTCTCGATGCACTCACTGCACAACCCATTTTGATGCGTTCTTGTTTTTACGTGATTTGTGATATATAATTTTTTTTTTGTTTTCGTTTTCTTCACTTTTTATTTATTCGTTTGTTGTGCGGATTTCTTTTTTATCTGCACGTCCCTTGTTATCGTATTCAATTTGCTTTTTTTTTCTTCTTCTCCTTTCTAGCGATTCTATTTCCTTTCCGCAGATATTGATTCCGTTTCGATTGTTTCGTTTTGTTTTCAATTTAGTTTGAAACACTCACGCACACTCATTAATTACAGCACATTGAAGCAACAATAAAACGCAACAAAATACGAACACGGCTCACTTTCCCGTCGTTGTCGTCGTTGTCGTTGTCGATTCCACTAATGCTTACAGCAAATCTTATACAAAAACCACAATTTTTTTTATGACACTTGTTGCACTACTAAATTTAGCAAATTCAATGGAAATCAAACACTTTTTTTGTGTGTTAATACTGTCCTGCCTCTTTATTCGATATGTTTCGCTCTGGTTTTTTCCTTCTGTGCGTGTGTATATATGGGCTGGTTAGTTCTGGACAGGGAAAACATTCGTTACAAATGTAGCCGAGTATTTTTTTTTCTGATTCATCGACACACAATCGGAATGACAATACATGGAATGTACGAATGCGCTCATGTATACGACTGAAAACGGAGAAATACGGTTAAACATGGAGAGCATACAACAACACCAATTTGAAGTTGTTTTACAGTAAAATCACACGTAACGATACAGCGCCCCACGCGCTCCACTCACATTCACCAAACAATTTATTCCGTTGACGGTGGATTTTTCACAATTTTTGCATTACAATTGGGTTGAAATTAAATTTTACACCAATTTTCGCGCACAATTTTATTTCCGGGAAAATTCGTTGGAATTTCAAATGGCACGACCACCAAAAATGACTTCACTGTAGCTATTCACATTGTTTACGATGAAGTTGTATGCAGAAGGTAATTCATATTTTTTTTATGCGTTCTTCGTTTAGGGTTGACCGATGCTAACGACCGAAATTCAACGAATCGACCTTTTTGATTGGAATCGAACATTTCGATTTATTTTAAGATTTAAAATCAAATTTTCAGTTTTACAACCAATGATTTTCGATATAATTTGGTTTTGTTTTCCATAAGTATGGCTGGATATGGGCACAGAATTGTTCAAAATAAACGAACTTTTGTCAATCGTTGGCATTTGGCAGTTTGATATTTGATTCGGTACAGATTTTTCTCAGCCTACTGACGCCATCTATTCGAAGATAGATGAGTTGGAGAAGGCGCTTTTTTGAAATGATTAAATAAACGAAGCTCATTTCCGAAGCAATTTTGTTGATCCTCTGTAAAATTTACTAGAACTTGTCTCTTCTCAGTATTCAAAAAGGAATGGCATGACATAATATCGTCACAAGCTACGAATGGTATGTGAATCTGTTTAGAATGTTTATGACCGCTGCTTTTTTCGTTCCAGGAAACGTGTGTGTGTGTGTGTTTGACACATTTTATGTGAACTTTGCATTGTTAAAACAAATTATTATCGAGTAATTTTACCTCGCATTCGCGGACCATTCATTCATGATCGCAATAAATTTTGCTTCACTTACGATTGTTTATAAGCGGCCGAAGCTTCTCTCGCTAATTACATCTTTCTTTCGTATTTTAATTTAACGACCGAAACTAAAATTACTTTGTTTTATAAACAAATCAAAAGGATGAAGCTCAAATTTATGAATTAAACAAACCCGTGTCTATTTCGGGATATCGCAAAAGTTTAAATTTAGGCGCGAGCGAGAGAGAAAAAACACCATGCGAACGAAACTATGATATTCCGACTTTTTTTCTGTGTCGGTTTGCGAATTTCAATCGTCAATTGAGAATGTGGTCTCGAACAGTACGGGATGGGCTTTCGTTGGCATTGATCGATTTGTATTGAATTTTCCGTTCGATCATGATCACCGTTTGATATTTTGGGTGCATTTGCAGTTGTCCGTGTCTACGAGACGATCCAATTGACGCATGTGTTGCGTTAGAGGACGCAAGTGACGACATATTCCATCAAAATGAAAATTTCTGTATGAAGTGAGCCGTCAAATATTCCGCCTAAGGACCACCCATTTTCTTATAAAAATCGAACCGGGAGAAAAAAAAAATGTTGACGAGCAGAAAAAAATCCGATCTTATGTAAACATATGAAAAATAGAGAAAACAAAACTGAAAAAGGGGAAAAAAAGGGAATACGATTGTAAAAGTGAAACTACTGTCTTTACCGCATCAGCTATTACGACGGAGGCGAAAAAAAAATATATCGTTTGAGACACAGAGTTGAACAAGTGCATGATACAAAGAAAAAACCAGTGCATCTACCAAAGACAGTGCATCATGTGTGTTTGGATGTGTGCTCGCCACGTTCACACAAAGACACCATTCGACCGTTTAATCTAACGGGCGAATGCATCCCGATTTAATTGCCATTGCCTTCAATTATGACTGCATAATGTGCATATTCGTAATAAATTCTTTGTAGCTTATTGCTGCCGCGCTTGCCTCTGATTCTCTCTCTCTCTCTCTCTCTCACTCTCTCTCTCTCACTCTCTCTACTCCTTGCCTCCGAACTGATTCCAATTTTTTTTCGTGTTCAATTTTTCACTATATTTTTTTTCGTCGTTTTTTTTTCCGTTGGCTTATGACTTCATGTGTTCGGGTGTTGCTGTCTATTTTGCTGCCGTCATTTGGTCGTTTTATTGGGATCGAACCTACACTACTCGAAACAACGTATTAAAACAGTAATAAATGCGATAGTTCAGATCACAGGCACCTTCGCATATCTCACTCCTAAGTTTCGTACGGATGGTGTATCTCTTCGTCGACGTCGTCGTCGTCGTCTTCGTCGTTTTTTCATCATGCATGCTAGTTTTCCGTTGCGTTGTTTTCACTTTTCTATAAAAGAGCACACATCATCGCAATGTCGATGATGATACAATGAGTGAGAAACTTCAGAAACCATCGCGTTCCCGTTTTTTATTGCATTTGCATTGCACAGGCCGTTTGATGTGTGTAGTCGATTTTTTTTTCCACATTAGAATTTCTACACATTCGGGATAAAGACTAAGAAAAAAAAACACGATCGGTGTGATGAAACAAACCACTGTGGATGTAGTCTGGAAAAGTTCAGATTAACATGAAATAGATCAAGATTTCAGCACATTACGATTAATCATCATAATTGGTTTGAATTTGAATGTACCGCATGCAAGCAAACACAAAAATGTTTCGTGCAAAACCAAATGGAATGCGCAGGTTTCCAGCCGCCACCGTCGCCACACGGCTATCTGAATGGATTGTGAATTGGCAACCGAACCGAAACCACATAAATCACAAAATGACCATTTGTTCAACGGATAACACACACAGGATATCGTAAATTTATCGGTGTTCAATGATGCCGACGGCACAAGACGGAAAAAAATATCACTTTCAATTGTGAACTCATCACCAAGCCAAGCGCAGATGAAGAAGAGAGAAGAATTTGAAGAAAAAAAACGACAGAATTTCCCCCCGACGAAGAACCGCCAATCGATATTCACTGTTCGATACTCGGCGTTTGAATGGTGTTGACGGATATTTCGCAGAGCCACTAGCATACTAGTGGTTTCATGTCATCACTTGACTTGATATCGCTGAAATAAAGAAGAAATGAACGAAAGAATTGAAAAATGCGGGAAAAATAGTCAAGAGCACCCATGATGGAGCGAAGAAAGTCAGGCGAAATGTGAAAAAGACGAATCATATGGCACTTATGGATCGATCTTCAAAATGATCCACATAGGATGAGCCAATGTTTAGTTTCGAGCCAAGTGGTTCCTCATGACTACCAACCTCATCGACATTTTCAACAAGAATGATGAACAAGACGAAGCAAGAAAAAAAAAACGAACAAACGTCCAAATTTATCCACACACACACACACAAAATTAGTTGATTAATTAGTTTTCGTTCGGAGCTCATTTTTTTTCTACGAGAAAATGCCACTAACTCGATTCGAAGATGGAAACGCCGAAAACGATTGAAACACAAAACAGGGAGAAGAGAAAAGAAAAATCGGCAGGCGAAAGTGGAACGAGCCACACATTTACACATGTTATGTGTTGTTAAGTAGTGTTTTCCGCTTTTGATTTATCGAACAGTAGATAGAGAGAGAGAGAGAGAGAGAGCGAGAGAGAGAGCGAAAAAAATGGGCTGGTTAGATAAAAGGTGTTGAGTTGTATTTCTCTTCTCTCCTGCGCAAATTGATGAATGATCAATGCTAACTCTCTATGTTTCTCCCTCTATACATATTCCTATTTCTGTGGTTCACATCCAAATGATGGAACATTTAACAACGATCGTCGAACTCCGATCATTGGTCTGTGTGATGCTCATTCAATTGGTTTCTTTTTTCATTCGGTCATTGTTACGCCACCGAAACATTTTTTTTTTGGAACATAAAATGTCGAAAGAAGAATAAGAAACGAAACGCCGTTATCCAAAAATCGCAATAAAATCATTGATTTAACATCATTACCGGCTTTAATATTCAAATAATTTAATGTTTTCCGAGCAATTTTAAAAGGCATTATTTGGCGCCACGCTTATACATGCACATGTGTACATATGTGCCGTTTATTCGGTGCTAAGCATGCTCAAAAAGTATCAAATTCGAGCATTTTTTCGGTCCGTTTCGTGTTTTTTTTTCTTCGTCTTTTTTGTGGCACATTTTCACTTTACTGCCGATATTTCTATCACAGATTTTTTTTCACTCTTTTTTCTTCTGTGCGTACGGATTTTTGACGCTCTCATTCCTTCCATTTGTGCGTGTTATTGGGTGTTTTTGTTTTGCCTATTGTACACTTAATGGCAAATTTGTAAAAGCAACAAACAGAATAGAGGAGCATCGCACAGATTGAAAAGGATCTTTCCGTACTGTTGGTGGTCCATTTATTATGCAAGCAATGCACGGAATGATGAAAAACAAGTGAATTTTGACAGGATTTGAAGTCTGGCTTTGTGAAAGAAATGTGTAAATCCAGAGATATCTATTTCATGCTTTCAAACGAATCACAAAGTCACACTTGTCAACAGAACCGATCAAATATCGACGTTTTTCACATAAAACACAGAGTATCCCTTTTTTCATGTAACGTTGCACCGGCTTCAATACATTTTAAAGTGTCAGACCGTTAATTTTTTCCATCGTTTTCACCAAGTCAGACGAAGGGTACATGCTAAGGGTACATGTATTTAGAATTTACATGAGATGTACCGATTGAGCGAAGAAGAAGAAAAAAATGCATTTTAATGACCGTTTGGGTTGTAATTTCTGCACAATGACTATAACAAATTGTGTGTGTTTTTTTTCTTGTTGAAACTGTCTGGCCGGCGATGATTGTTATTGCTCTGTAGCGCATAAATAAAAATCAAACATATGGGAACAGGCATCGAACGCATAACTTTTTCTCAGTTTTGTGAAACCGTTGCTCCTTTTTTTTCATTCAAATTCCGAATGTTAAATTAAAATGAATTCGGCTGTCGATACCAACTTATTTAGGCGAAAATGAAGATAAAAATTAAACACTATTTTTTTTTCTTGCGTCTTCGTCGTCGGTCGGTACAAATCGATTGTTGCATTCGTCTCATGATCGTGCAAGTGTTTGGTTAAATAGTAAACAACATGCATCAAAGTATTTATTAGCCCAGGAATATGGAAGAAAAAGGGGTTCGACTATAAAACAAGTCATATTATCCATTTCAACATATCGTCTTCAATTCATGTGTGTGTGTGGGATATGAAAATTCTAAGCCAGAAAATAAAGCTCGGAAAGGAAAAACTAGCGAAAAAAACAACAACAACAACAACAACAACCATAAGAACGAGAGAAGAAAAAGGTTCACGATTTTATAAAC